AAATTAACCATGGAAATATTTACCGAATTTATATATGTATTGAAAAATGAAATCTTCGCTGAAGGTTCAAGTGTGTCCTAAGAAAAATTAAGGGGAGCAAAAGTTGCACTAGACGAGATATTGGTTCCATTCGATGTATTCTCGCTCTTCACCTTGATTTCGCTGGATTCCTTAAGATGTCGCATCAGATAACTGTTTCAAGCCTACAGCACTAATCTTCCTGCCGATACTTTACTTAAACCACTATGTCTTTCTCTAGCGATCCTTTTTTCCCTTGACGAACAATGCTATCATCAACTGAAAGGTGCTCCGATCAGTTTGCCTACACCCGACTTTCTAGCGGAGGCTGCAATGCTGCTGTTCTTTCTACAGTTAACCCAGGACTGTGGCTGCCCTATGTAACTGACACATTTGACATCCTCAAAAAAAATCAATTAAATTTGCTCCCCACGAACCTCAACTGTACATTTCTAGGAATCGAGTTTACGTTCAAATTGATGGTTGAGGGAAAACCTCCATTTCTGGATATGCTTGTATTGCGAAAAACGGATGGATCAGTTAACGCATAAGTTCAGTTCCGAAACATATTAATGGTACACTTTGAGCGTACTTATCCATTCTCTCATAAAGGGAGTTCTGTCTATAACCTGCTGTATCGAGGCAATATGCACGGCTCCGATTAAGAAATTTACCATGCAGAAGTTAAATTACTTTCAAGGAGTAGTTACCCATGTAACTTTGTGTGTCAATGCCTGAAGCACCAGGCGAAGTTTCTCATACGTTAAAAATGCAACTGATATTTCTGCAAGACAGCTAACATGAACAGCAGGTACGAGTCGCACACCAAACCCGCAATTGCTTTTCACACACAGTTTGCACACTTTAGGACAGGGACAGTCACCTCAACAGAGGGGTTGTCAACGAGATCCCAGGTGCAAGTTGCGATACCCTTTATGGAAATCAAATAGGGAGATAGGTATAAACCTGCATACACGAATATCATTAAACAACCACAAGACGGAACCATCGATCTTTGGTGGCCATGCACACACTGAACAATGAGAACACGCATTTGTTGATAAACGTTCACCTGACTGCTAACAGAACTCATCTGTTCCGCTCTGCCTTGGGCCTCGATAGAGGCTCTGACAGCCGTAACAGCTGGTAGTTTAGGCGAATAGTATTGCCGGCAGAGACAAGGGAGACTGGAATGGCCATCTCTGGCTTATTAGCCGTCGTCAACCGGTCATATCCAGCTCCAAGTCGTGCTTTACCCGAGCCTCGAACTCGTGACTTTTCGATCGGAGTCAAACGCCCTAATTATTGAGCCACCCTAGTCCGTTGCGCTTGCGCAGTAAGAAGACC